CCGATCCCAATCTGGTGGTCTCCTCTTGTCATTCTTATCATTGTCTTTGTTGGTTGTACCTGGCTTCTTCATACTCTTGCTGTGCCTCTGCCTGCATATATTCAGCAAGCTCTTCCCAAGCTCACTTGACCTCTGCTTGCTGGACTCTAATCTGCTGCTGCTGCTGCTGTACTGCATTGTTATAATCAAAGAGGATTCTAAGGTCTCAGTCCAGGAAGACTCATTATATGATTCTGTCCCAAGTGATTCTCCCCCTTGTGCTAGCTGTTCCTGCCTCTGGCTGGCTCCCGATGTGAAGGTTGTTCAGGGGGTCCTCTGCCACAGCAATGGCAAGCTCCATGTTCATGAAATCTTGGTGGATGCTCCTTCCATAAGGGTCATCAAGCTCAGCCTGCTGATGGATGGGCTTGACTTAGAGATAGTGTAGAGGGAATGGTGGAGGGAGTTGGGGGTTGTCTGGGGTCTTGAAGCCATCTGAGCAGCATCAAGAGAGTCTCAAGCATGGTTTCTAATCTCTGAGACATTTGGAGAGGTAGAAGAGCTGGGGATGGAGTTGTCCAAAGGGATGTCACCAGGGATCTCCTCAAGCTCCTGGGTGACATTTGTGGTCCAAGAGTTCTGAAATCCTGCAAAAGCAGGGTTGCAGTCTCTGCTGAGTCATCAAGAGGGATATCAAGGTCCTTCTTCTTCCTGAAGGCTCCCCAAAGGTGGATCACTATGCTCAGTTTCTGGTATGGATCACTCTTGCAGCTGGAAGAATGCTCTGATAGAGGTGGGGATGTTATGGAAAGGTAAGTCTGGGGTTATGTTTCAGAGAATTGTATGAATCTGCTGAAATGCCTGATAGTGCCTGACTATCCAAGCAGTAACTGATTGTCATCCATAGCAAAAGATAATGATGGCTAGAAGCCCTAGTAGTATTCTGATGATGAAAGCTATCAATTCAAAGAAGTCATTATTAAGGTCAGCAGTGGTTGCTGATGGCATTTGGTTTCTCAGCACAATTGGGCTTGAGAAAGGGAAGGCAAAGCTTCAAGCTAATTGTTAGACTCAAGCTGCACATGATCAACTAGCATGTGATAAACTAATATAGCTTTGCATTTGAGCCTTCCATTAGAGTCCACTGTATGTACTAATGTTGACTCTCTGTGCTTCAAGGCTTTGTGTGACTAGCTCAAGAGTAGAATGAGATGGAATAAACTTTAGCTTGAAGCTGGGGATTACCAGCAAGAGTGAGCAGTCTTAAATACTGTACATGGTCTGCTAATAATACCACTACTTATTGTGTGTTTCTCTGTCTGTTGTGCTTGTTGTCCTTGAGCATCACTACCATACATAAAAGGTTGCTCGTGCATTGCTGGGTAACACTGTTGCATCAAAAGACAATGATGGACTTGGCTAGTTGTAATGACTAAGCTTTTATCCCACAGTCTTAAGTGCTCGTCCTAGTGCCCTGACTAACCATAAATAGGGGCTTTCAAAGGAAAAGAATGGAAAAATCGTAACATATATAAAGTGCAAAAGAGTGCAAAGTGAGTAGTGATGTAAGTTCAGTTATGGCTGAGGCCCATAACCTGTTGTAAGTAGAGAGCAGAGTAATGTACAGAGGATTAGAATTAGCCTCTCAAGAGAGAGACATTCTACTTAAATACATTTTGTATTACTTTGAGATCTTTCTATGAAATACTAAGTAAGTCCAGATCACGATCCAAGTCAGCTGCCACTGATTGGTATCGTATCTTCGAGTACATTTTCGTACTCGCTCGGGATTGCTATCCCAACAAATACCTCCATAGACATGTTTTGTCGAGGGGGAGTGTTGAAGTAGAATACCCTCCATGTTGCTCTTATCTTACATAATCATAGCTATTAATACTGGAGATCGAAGGTTAACGCTCCTCAGCTTTTGATCTTCGACTCCAGACCTGGCTTTTCCCGCCGCGCTACACAACCTGCTCCCAACAAGGGACACACTCTGTGGTAACATATGCTGAGAAGAATGCAACGATGGGAAAGAGTAGCATGATGACAATATGAGTACAAGAAAGCAGGTACTAGAAGAGCGAACAGGATATGCATGTGGTAAAATCAAACAAGTTGAACGGAAAACAAAGAAGCAAATCGAAAGCACGACAAAATGGTATATGAAACTATGGCTCTACACGCCATAATGTAATTAATCATGATTCAGCGCAAGAAACGCTGGTTCATATCCTTGTTCAAAACACGAACGTTAAAGACTACACTGGCTACCCGCCGATGTTCGACTTACCAACGGACAAAGGCTAGAGAACTAAGGTATCAAATGATGGATGAGCAGGGGTCGAAGAATGCACTAGAGCAGGAGACGGACTCACTTGAGGGTGTTGAACTACCTTTGAGGGGTTCTGCTCCCTCTTCCTCCGCTCTGTTACTTTTCTCGAGTTGACTTGGACAGTGGCGCTAAACAAAAGAAAGAAAGGATCAGCCGCAACCGCAGCTGAGACAGAACGGAGAGCGAACTTTATGGAGATACTTAACTCCTTCAGTGTTGGTTCGGGATCAGTTTCTGTAAAACTTTGAGATTAAGAAGGCAAGCGGAAGGAGAAGCTACCCACGCAGTGCTGACATTATGGCCTAAGAATGAGTCGTTCAATGAGAATTAAAACGAATACTCTGAGAAATAAGCTTACTCTGGATAGTGCGCCCCCCTTCGCGCCTCCCCATGCCATTTCCTCATCCCTGCATGCAGATATGCACACCTAGAGAGAAATACAAGTTCATCGGGTGACACAACATCGAGCATGTTAATTGAACGACTTACAACGTATCCCGGCCCTCTGCGATCACTTATCAAGCAAAATCCCCTGCAGTCCTCGATGGGCGGGTCCAAATGTGAGGCGGCTATGAACCTTTCGACTGTACGGGGGCGGAGGAGGTTCAAATTTACGGAGACATCTGAGGCAACTACGCAGACGTAAACGTAGAGTCCGGATTATGCGAACAAATGACGGACTAAATCTGTATAAACGACAGACTGAGGCCGAGGTTAGAAGTATAATGCATATACGAAAACTAGTGCATACAAATCATTGTCCATGACGTGCAATCATTGCAGCGGTAGTGGGAAAGATCTGGGAAAAATGTTATACATAGAGTCGGAAGCGGTATGGGAATTGGACATATTGGGCCATACCGAGAACGGTACCGCTGTGGCAGCAGTCAAACACAGCCTGTAAAATGCGGATTCACGCAAAATGCCGATGTGGTAGGTGATGTGGGTACTTACAGTCAGTTTTGCGCCAACAGCAGCCAGAGGCATGACCAGGATATTCTTGAGGACGTCGTCAACGATCATCGCTCCTTCAATAAAGCCGTTGGGACCAACAGCATCACAAGGGACGACATCTGAAATAAATATTAGTTCAGTGAACCGGACGCCGGTGAACGGATAATCTTTGCCTACGTTCATCTTTCTTGTCGGCTTCTGTACTGTTGGCGTTGAATTTCTGGTACCCATGGCCCCCGTCTGGAAGATTTCAACACGACGTTCGACGAAGCGAAAGGAAGGACTGACAGAAAATAAAATGGATGTCACCGGCGGAAGCACCTTGAACGAAACGGTGGATTTCTCTCTCCTAGGCAAGGATGGGTCGGTTCCATATTCGGGAGGAGAGCCTTAAGGACGCACGATGTTTGCCTTGGTAGGCCAAAGGTAGGGCGAAGTCTCGAGAGCATCCTTCATGATAACGATGTCGTCCTTATCGAAATACATAGTGCCTGTAAAGGGAATGTTAGACCAGATCTCCTCTGGATCCGGCTGGAGCATACCTATGAGAAGGTCGCGAAATTTATCAACGTCTACATGGGTGCCTTTCATCTGGTCGTCCTTCCTTGACGCGAATTGTTCCAGACCGTAGGTGCAACCAATGAGCAGGGCCTTTCTGGTCACATGTTTCCTATCGATGCAACGGGAGCCTAAGATGCCAGAGGGAGGTGGTAAAGGACTGAAGGGACGTAAACGACCTGGTCTAGAAATCATGTAAAGGTCGTCTAGACGGAACGACGAAGAGGAAATAGATGAGTTGTGGTAGTGGATAGAAAGAGAGGCAATGCCCTAGCCCTTTTCTTGGAACTTAACAACGGGAAGTGTATCGCCGTCGGCGGCATATCCTGGAAGGCGAGGGCACAAAGCACCGAGCGTGTCCGAGCAAGCTGTTTTCTCGGCGTGCGGCGCGGTCACGACCGGGACTTCCAGATGCTTGCTTAGAAAGGATGCTCATCTAGCGTCAGAGATACACTAGCAATGAGAGCACAAACAGACACCAGGTCCCCAAGATCTCCTATCAGAGCCCCCAAGGAGAAGAAGACATCCTCCGATAGAGCGGTCGAGGAATCGGCGACCCGCTACGGAAATGCACCTCCATAAAAAGTGCAGTGTTCGGTGAGCACCAGTAAGTACTTCAACCACATTTTTCTTGTTCGATGAACCCGGCAAAAACGGCAAGAAGTCGTGACGCGCTAACGCCTCCGCCAATCATGTAACTGGGTTGACGTACGATCACTTTCCGAATCTTACTCGACGTCCTCTGCACTGGTGGATGGCAACCATAATTTTAACCCTTCTTTCCCTCACCTTTGGCCATTCTCTAAATTTTTCTCATACGTCAAAAGGCCCCGTGTCCTGGTATGAATCTGTCTGATCAAACTTCTTTTCCTCCACTGCCGCGTTTCACATTGGATTCGTGGAACAGCAATGGAATTTTTCCAATTTTTTTTGGTGCTGTCGTACGCAATGAGTCATGCATATCGGAAGAAATTACTGTCTCAGTACTTGGTGTTCATGCCCAGGCTCCACCCACGCGCATGATACCCGATGTCCTGCTCTAATTGAGGATTCCATTTTACCGCTACAGAAAATGAACTGAGGAGAGCATCCCAGATCCCACATGAAATTGACTGACATATGGTTCGATGGAAGAACGAAAGATAGACTAGAGATACAGAGCGTGGTAGGGTATAGTAGGTATCGATTATGTAACAATGCGAGAACGAGGATGAATGTGCGTAGCAGAACAGAAGAGCGGATGCTAAGTTTATACATGGAAAAATATAAAGCAAGAGAAATCAACAAAGCGGGGACAACACAAAGCAGTTTGATAACGAGCAGATCAACGTATTGTAAAACGATCAAACGCTTAAAGCAGAAAACGTTGTTCGTTCATGTCCTTGCATAGAAACATTCAGCAACAACGTAAGAGCTCAGCCTATGAAATTTGACATACCAAGGGCCAAAGGCTAGAGAACTGCGATCAAATGAATGAAAGGACAAAGCCGGGTAAAGTGGTGACTCACTTGAGGATGTTGAGCAATCTTTGGAAGGCTTTCCTTCGCATCCTTGCCCTTCCGTTTCTTTATTATCGCGTTGACATACACTTTGACTCTAGCGCTAGAAAACATTCAGTACCGAAACGGGCTAAATCAGGCGAAGAAACAGACCCTATGAAAATATTCAGCTCCTTGAGTGTCGGATGGTGGTCTTGATCTACAAATTCCTTCAGGAAGAGTAGACATTTGTAAAGAAAGCACTAACGTAGTGCTTGGATCAGAGCCTTGGGGGAAAGCATGTTCAGTGATATTAGAGGACAAATATTATCAGCGATCTTACCCTCGTCAGCGACCCTCCCTTGTTGCCGCCCCAAGCGAGCTCTTCGTCCAAACAAGCCGAGATGCAGATCTAATGAGGGGCATTGAGTCACCGGATCAGCATTACAACAGTATGACGTACGACGTATCCGGAGCCTCTACGCTTTGGGAGCAAGCAAAACCTTTCGCAGTCCCTAATGCACGGGTCCCAGTTTGAGGCGATACCGGGCGCGAACGAGTTGAGCGTGCAAGGGACGATCAGGCTCAAGTTGACAGACGTCTTTGAGAAGACTAGGTAAACGGGATCATTAGTTGGTATGTCATGGTGAATTGCGGATGCGAGACGAACTGTGTCTGTATAAACGGAGGGCTAAAGCGCTCTGGTAACAGACAGTTCTTCAGATGGGCGGAAGAGATACGCACCAGTCCTTTTCCAGGCTGTGATATCGTTACAGCGATAGTGTAAGAGATCTAGGCGTATTTCCTGTGATTACTAACAATACAAGGGTAGTCGGGGGATGAACATACCGAGAACTGTACCGCTGTGACAGCAGTCGAAGACCGCCTGCCTCGTAAGACAGATTAGGCTGTTAAGGCAGACGATGAGCAGGAGACTCACGGTCAGTTTCGCATCCACGGCTACAAGAGGCATCACTAGCATGTTCTTGAGCACATCGTCGATGATCAATTTATCCTCCATGAATGCACCATCAGGATCGATGGCGTCACAAGGCACAATGTCTAAAGAAAAGAGCATTGCAGTGAAGTCGGCACCATTGTACAGTCGTGACACATACGCTTGTCACGCTTGTCCGTTTCCGGGCTGGAGGGGTTGTAGATCTGGTGTCCGTGCCCGGCATCTGGGTGTAATGAAATGAGACGCTCTTTCAACCAAGGGGGACGAACGACGTGCAGAATAGAAAACAGATATCGCCGGACGAGGTCCCGCCTACGAAATCACTGATTGCTCTTTCCTAGTGTGAGAAGATGAGTCAGTATAACCCTCGGGCGGCATTGTTACTGTGCTTACAATGTTGGCCTTGGTAGGCCATAAATGGCGGGGTTTATCTGGGCCGTCAGTCAGCACAGTAATGTCCTCCTTCCTGAAGTGTAATGGGCCTGTGGAGGGTTACGCTAGATGAAAGGCTAGCGTCATAGGCGGTCCGTACCGATGAGAATGTCATACATTTCCTTAACGTCAGCGAGGGCGCCCGGCATCTGGCTCTCTGGCTTCGACCTATATACTTCCGAAGCATAGCTGATCCCGATAAGGAGGGCCTTTCGAGCTACAGGCTTAGCCTCCATAGGTCGGGGATTTGGGCAGCAGGCGACAGAGAGGGACGATTGAAGCAAATACTCCAACGTTCGTGAACGACGCACACGAAAATGCATGGGGAAAGGTCGTCCGAATTGAAAGTAAATTGGAGGAGATAAATGAATAGATTATGGAGGCAGTGGATGCTGGAGCGAAGAATTGAGGGTATAAGTCCTGCTGCCGTTAACAGCTAACAGCAAAGCCGCGTGACAAAGACGGCATTGCCAGAGAGAGGAGGAGAAGTTGGGAGAAGGTGAAAACCTTGGCCAAGCCCGCTAACAAATAGGAAGATAGACGTTTGGTCCGACGCACAGCCATCCCGAACCAGCTGTGAAGGCGGATCAAACAGAGTGTGTTGAGCGACTACGTTGGGAGAGTAGGACATCGAAGAGCTTTCCGAATGCCCATCATGGGGAAGAGGGAAAGTAGAGAGAAGCATAGATGCGGAAGATTGAGTAGGAGGGGGGTGCTTTCATCGGTTCCGTGAAGCAAGGGGCAATTGAACGCTTCCCACCAGGGACAGTGACACGACCGCATGACTAGGGGAACCAGTTATTCAATAATCTGGGTCTATCGGCGATAACGAAAATCCTTTGTAACGTGGTATCACGCTCTATGATCCTTCTGTACCTGGGGTTGGAGGACCTGCTGACGTTCAGATGGTGGCCCATTTGGTGATGACGGGAAAATCCAGATAAAAAGTCAAGGTTGAAATTTAAATACGCTATTTTTCCAGCCTGTTTGCTTACCCGATGAACGTAAGCGAGACACCAAAGAGCAACATTATCGACGCGGAAGGACACCGGGCCCGTATGCAAGCCTAGCTTTTGGATTTGACTGGGATTGGCTGCTAGTCAGATTCATGTAAAACGCGTTCCACCTGCCTGTAAAGAGTAAGAATGTCTGTACGATCACGATCAGAGCACCACGAACGCCCATAGTTCTATACTTGATCCTGCGATCCCCGGTCACCTTTACCGTATGAAGTGCCAGATCAGGGGGCAATTAACACAACTTTTTGTCCCTTTCTCTGGCATCCGTCTTGTGTGATCCCGGTCCTGGTAGGGGTTACGGAGAGGGCGAGATGGGCCATGTGGGATGCGTGTCGATCAATTGGCGATTTCGAAAATCAATATGGCACGTGTCGTTGCTTTTTCTTTGTTTTATCCCCCACCACCACAATGACCTGGACCATCATTTCTCCTTCTCTACTCTCACAATCGTCCATCTTTTCTCTCATGGGTAACTGGTCGAGTCGTGTAATCAAGCTCTGTCACCATACGGTTCCATTTTTAGCAGATCTTCTGCGGTTGGATCAACATTCTACCGGTGTATTCCGTGGGTGTGAGTACTGTCGATGCATTTTCACAAGAGGTGTTTGATCCCCATTGCCTGGAGCAGATGTACACAAACATAATTTAGGACGTGCTTGTCCCCGTACTGAGTACTGACATAAGTCTAATTGCCGCGATAAGACGTGAAGTGCTTCGTCTCATCGGGCCGCTGGTGTATTAAACACATATATGTCAAACAGTGCGGTACGGTCGCCGCAGTAGAAGATATTCCTTGACGATTGCAGTCCACAACGATGACCCAGTCGCGTCTTGGTTTCTTTTATCTGCATCCTATGATTGACCTCCGCGATGAAGGATGGGTGCAATCCATGAAACCGATAGCATTTTTCTCTCAAGATATCGCATCGGCGACACTCTAAACTCTATCCCAAAAATGGATGGTGTGTCACCTTCACGCATTCCATATCGCAAACGGAGTCTGGTTCACATCTATCGCAGCAGTTTTGAATTGGTGTACTCGTCGTAGACTCCGGAAATGAAGACATACACGTGCCAATCATATGCAGTGACTCACACGCATCACCGCGACTTCACTTCCACATTTCGTAATCCACCATGGCATTCACAGGAGAAACGCAGCTGGCGGCCATCGATACATACCTTGCCGATCGTGCTACTCTCAGAGCAACGGTTGAAGCATTGACCCAGTGGGCGTACGAACCCAAGCGCTTCGGCGACAATGCGGAAGGTGGGCTGTGGGATCTATGGAGTGCGATCAACGATAGGGCGGAGGAGACGAAGAGCGACGACAACATCGCCCATGGCAAGCTCGTTGAGCTAGTCGATGCCATCAAGCATCAAAGGTCTCCGACGAACGATGTGGGGGAGAAGTCGAGATGCTGGGGGTTGACGTTGTGGAAGGACTTGCCCGTCTTTGGTGCAAACATGAGGGAACATTGGAACTGTACGCTTCTGGTCTCTGGGGCTTTCAAGTTACTGACTTTTGTATGTATCCAGTCTTCGATGCGAACGAGGATGTGGAGCGGACGCCGAAGCGGGAACGATGGGTTAATCTCAACGCGTTCGTCGCAGGGTTAACAGCCGCTCGGATCCATGACTTTGAGTTGTATGCCCTTTTGCAGCTGAGAGATGCCCTAGAAGAGCCAATCGAAGAGAGGGAGGGGGAGGGAGGAGAAAAACGGATCGACAAGAGCTTTGACGCCAAAATTCCCGCTGCTGTTCAATGGATCCTCTACTGTGGGCAATTGATATACACCAACGAGCGGGAATTCGAAACTGGCCCTGGTATTGGAGATCCTGCGAGAGGCGGCGAGCTGTGGAAGGGTGACAAGAGAGGCTTTTGCCAGGAGAGATGGCAGTTTTGGAAGAAAAGGTTTGCGGAGCTGCGAAATTTTCAAGGGCTTTTGCCAGAGACAAGGGAGCTGGCTGGTAAGGCGGTTCAGGTGATGGACGCTATCGAGAAAAAGCATCACGATTAGATATCTCACCAGGAAATAAATCATTAATATGTATTTTATTTAGATAATCCAGGTTTATTATATAACCATCCTCTCTTTACTTTGACCACCACAACTAATGCCTGGAATTCGTACCCCCAGCGCCATCGGCATGACTCTATGAACGCGCATTGCGTATCCAATCGACGACGGGAATTGTTGAACGCGGTCTCTTCAGTGGACACTATAGCGTCTAGGTGTATCTTAACGATACCACTACAGGGTTGTAGCATTCAAATCGGAACCACACATTCTTGCCGTTCATTCTCTAGTGAGCATGCTATGAAGGAGCCGGTGCCGCTATTATCATTGGCCTGGGGTTGAATTTTTGCGGCTGTGCCCTTGCTAATTCTGCGAATATATGCTCGCACAGTGCGTCGATGTTCTATTTGTACCTGCACAATTCTAAAGCATTTAGCTAAACTACAATGGGACTAACCGTCCTTCGACGATGACCCTGTTCACCTACAAGTTTGGTTTCCCTTCTCAGTATCACCACCGACATCCTTCTCGCCCAGCATCGAATTCGTTCAAGTACAGTCATATCCTCGAACTTCACCTATGTAAACAGATGTTGCTAAAAGCGGCTAACGCGGTAATCCAAGCCGTCCTGCAGCCCGGCTGTTTGGCGGACGAGACCGCGTAAGCAGGTCAACAAGAACCTGTTGATAGACCATTTGGATCATCCCCTCTCCAATGCGTTTGCCAACGGTCTTCCTCATTGGCGGTCGGCTCGCCAGGTAGTCGATACGTCACGTCTGGAGTAAATGCCGAGATAGCGGGAACATCTTCCCTTTTCTTGACCTCATCTTCACTAATATTATCCACAAGGATTGGGATCGTACCAGTTTCATTGTTCTTGGTCTTCAAGGGCGTCGACTGGCACAACCCGGTTCTGTGGAGGAGCGCGTTGCATGCTGGTGAAGCCATCGACTGTTTTCTATATGCATTGAAGAACCTGCGCCGAGGTCCGGGTAACACGGCGGTACAGGGCTCGTTATCTTTCTCTTTAAAATTGGCGACTAGCGTGCATGCGCTCCTTCATGTCCATCACCAGTCAATACGGATGCCTTACCTGGATCGAAAAGTTGAGACTATTTGTAGTCCTGACTGCCTTGGGTATGTTTCTGTCCGTTCATCGATCCGAACCCATCTCACGCTTCCTATCAAGTGGTTTATCTATGCGGGAAATCTCTCACTCTATTGTTTTCCTTTCGGCGAAGCAGGGCCCTCACGGTCATCTTGGCACTTTCAGGTTGTCGGTTTCTAATGGACTACTTGAGCCTGCGTCAGCTCCAATACTTGTCGCCGAGAAATTTGGACCAGTATCGTAAATGGGTGAAAGAGCGAGGGCTCCCTATCAAGGTCGAAGAGCTTCCAGAAAAAGGTGCCAAGTTGATGTGGATTGGAACACAGCAAACGGACAACGTTATCTTCTACTGCCATGGTAAGTGTTGGCTGTGAGATTTTCGGGGGACACATAATCATCATCACGTCCCTCGCTTGTAGGTGGCGGATATGTCCTGCCAAGTTCTCCTGGCACGTTTGCTTTTTGTCTGTATGTGCAGCAGCAATTGGAGGCAAAAGGTATCCAGGCAAATATCGCCCTTCTGACGTACAGTAAGCAAATGTACCTCTTCTCTCAATTACCCTCTAATACTCTCCCCATGCAGACCTTATTCCGGACGTCAAATTCCCCAGTCCATTGCGTGAAGCCATATCCGCGATCCATCACTTCCTTAAGTGCGGTATCAAATCCGAAAACATTATCCTCGCAGGGGAATCTGCCGGTGGGAATCTCGTCCTGCAAATTCTCTCACACATGCTGCACCCGCTGTCCTCTATTGCTCCCCTGCCGCCTTCTGTCCGCTTCCGGGGTGCATGCCTTATGTCACCTTGGGTCTCCCCTAGTGGTGACGTCTGCGCCGATCAGGCGCAGGCGAACGATTCCAAGGATGATATCAGTGTCTGTACTCTCCGTGAATGGGGTCAATTGATGATCAAGGATGTTCCGCGTACCCCGGAGAATACGGCTTGTGTCGAACCTGCGGGTGCACCCGAAGGGTGGTTTCAGGATATAGAGACGGTTGTTGGGGGAGTACTTATACTTTCGGGCGAGGTGGAGTGCATGGCGGGCTCGCATAGCTTCTTTTATGAGGAGCACTTGAAGCGCTATCATCGAAAAGTCGGGATGGCTGTCAATCCTGGAGGAGTGCATGATAGTATATTGATTGATTTTGCAGTGGGGAATGGGGCGTAATCCTCTCATCGGGCTAGCTTTGACGGCGACTGGTGGTGGTTACGTTTCAAATGCGGTTATGGTTGGTGGGTGAGGCACAGGATGTAAGCAGGTTCTCCATGACCTTCCAATGTAATTTGACCAACAATAAGAATTTTTCAAATCAAGCACCGTGAACTTAATATTCAACCACTAACAAATTAATGAACTAAGGTCCAAGCGAACTTCATATACTTTCAGCAGCGAAATCGAAACGTCATCTTTCACCTTGATTGAAATATTCACTGCGAGATCGTGATCCAGCCTGAGTTGGAGGCGGTTACGGCGGCGACTCCTGCGTCGAGGAGCAGGTACTGAAAAACGGGAGCGGGAAGATTCTGAGGTGGAATCGAGTTCGGGTCCACTCTGAGCCGTGGTTGAATAAGTGAGCATCCAGTACTATGAGAAGGGTGCAGGATCGCTCAATCGAATGCGAGTGGAGTAGAGCATCGTATTGATGTCAGACAATCCTCACGTAGGTAGGTAGTATTGCAGGGCACGGACCAGGGCATAAGTAATACACGGTGCATTAGCACTCTAGCATTACATCTATCTGCACTGTACTTAAATATCTACTTGAAACGTGCTCGGGTTCCATGGTTTCTCTGGAATCAGCAGTCAACGCCATAGCGGATACACGGGACAGGGACAGGAACATTAATAACAAATTAAGATGTCCCATCGTACAATTATATGGCTGGAAGTTAGAGAGAGCCGGGGCCATATCCTGAGACCACAACGAGTGCTGAGCGCTGGGACTTGGGAAGTTTTGGATTTGTTCGAGGAGCAGTCACACAAAATCGTCAGTATACATCTAATAGATAATCTACAAGCAGCGGCAACTCTTGTGTCACCCTGAACTCGACAGAAGCCTGTCGTACCTTTGCAAGTGACCACGATCAAGACTGATCGCAGAGAGGAGGTGTCAGCTCTGAGCGTGTCAGAATGACTAGACGGATGTCCGGATATTATACCTTAGCGAAGTTACTTACTTCTATGAGTCTTGGTGAGGTACCTACTTATACTACCTGAAATTAAGCATCACAGGGAAGATCGGCAACGATGTAAATCAGGCATGCGGGACAAAGGAGCTCAAGGGAAGCCAGTGATAGCCAGTAGGCCAGGGACGACTGGGTAAAGTTTCAGGGAGGGAAAATTAGCATAATAAACTCCTCCGTCGTGGTCAATATATAGAGATCGGAATTCAATTGCTCAAAAAAAAAATACAGCGGCGAAAGGATCACGCTTGATAAAGGATGGAGGAATATAGCTCTTTGAAGAGTACCAGTGTCTTTTTCAGGCCATACTTCAACAGCGCAAGTCTGGCTTTTTATAGTGAAGACCGGTCATCAGCTCAGCGATACATCCGCCGCATCGAGAACAAAGGTACGAGGTAGAACGCAAAAGTACAGCCACACGTCGCGGTAAATTGAAATTAGCCTCGGCACTGCCTTTTCTTAACTCTGGCTGCGAATAGTTCCCCATTTCCGAATTGCGCCTCCCGCACTAACTTAGGTAGCATCGTTCTAGCATCCCACCTGTAAAGGCGACATCTCTGCCTAAGCTGAGGCTCGGAGGAATCGGTCCGAGTCACGTTTTTGGAGGTCGTACGAGCTTGTTTCCAACTCGGCAAACCGTGCTGCGCTAGAACAGACTTCAACTTCAACTTTTCTCTTCGATCTCCTATGTTTGCGCCATCTAGATATACAGTCAGGATTCAGGACTGAAAACGTTCTACGCGTCGACGAACAGCTGCGGTCCTATTGATTCTAAATCGTCCTGAGCTTCGACCCTGGTTCTCGTCGCTACTACTTCCATGGCAGGATTTTCGAGATACTGATATAATATATTGAAGGATCCCGGATAATGCCCTGTGAACCTCGATCACGATTTTTGGAAATCTTTGCCGCTTTGTCTGGACCAAAATTTTGCGATTTTGGTCATTTTCGGTCCCCCAAGGTTGTCACAAAAAATTCGGTGTCGGGTACCCATCGGGCCTTTGCTATACCTTCCCGCGCTAGCACTTCCCTTGGCGGGGGTCTTCAAGGAGTCGAGCGCCCTAAAATGTCAAGTACCCGTCTGAATTTCGATCTAGGTTGACTGGATTTTTGACCAGGTTACGAGGGCAGGGTTGGACGGTCAATTTGGTCATAATTTGTCCGAACTGGGCTCAGGGTTCATACGGTATTTTCGGTGTCATGATGACAAAAAAGAGACTCCTATGACCCTCGACCAATTGTTCACAGGAGGCCGATCATTTTGGTTGAACTTTGCTCCATTTTTCCACCCCCTTCCCCTATGCAATGGTTACTTATACGGTAATTACGGTATCTGATTCTCTCTGTGCTTTGGTCCAACTCTGTTCTGTGCCAGTTCATTCCCTCACCTCCTGCAGAAATGACTGGCGCTGCCGAAGTCGCGTGAGCACCTTTTTTCCCTCCTTCCAAACGGTCTGACGAATTTGCTTCAGCCACGGGCCAATTCTCATCGGTCTGATGTTCAATACCTTACTGTTGGGGGTGGTAATAGCGCAAGTATATATCTATATGACGACGTATCAAAAGTGCGTGTTCTACCCATCCGTATATAAGCATAGCTGACCAGAGTATCAACCTATTTAGAAGGGATAGGCTATGGATGAAGGCTTACGTACGTCCTTCACTATTCAACGTCGACAATTGCTGAGTAGAGACGTCCAGGTTATCTTCTTATTCCTGACCAATCTACTCAACTCTGCCTTTATAATGGCGTACACGTACATCTCGTTGATCAAGCATTTCGGTCTGCACAGGATTGTTCCTACTTAAATCGTCGCTAACATCGGGACTCTTCTAGATGACGTTCCTTACCTATACAACGCAACCTGGCGTGAGTTATCTGCGACAGCGAATAAATATCAACGGGACTCACATATCTATAGTATTCTCCACTGACCCCGCCTTGACGGGCATCATCGCCGGCGCCGTACAACTATTCTTCGCATGGCGCGTCAAAGTCCTCACATCGAACTGGTATCTCGGTGCCCTCGTCGCTATCTTAGCCCTGACGGGCGTTGGTTCCTCCATCGTAGTAGCCATCAAGTCCGAGGCCGTTGGCGCCTTCACGAGATTCCAAGAATTCAAATCGATCGTAGTCGTATGGCTCGTCTCCGCGTGCGTGGGGGATTTCACCATCACTGCCATTTTGGTGTGGTATCTGAGGAAGCACAAGACGGGTTTCCAAGGCTCGGATGAATTGGTTGATAGAATTATCCGAGCGACGGTCCAAACTGGTTTGATCACGAGTATCATGGCTATCATCGATCTGATTGTCTACTTGGTCGATTCATCGGGCTTGTGAGTTCGCCATTCTTATCACGTTTCCTCTTTTTTTTTTTTTTCAACATTCGTCTAGACATCTGTTGTTCAACTTGACCCTTGCGAGACTATACACCAACACCCTCATGAGCTCGCTCAACTCTCGCTCTGGATGGTCATATTCGAACTCTAATCCGGACTCTCATTCACAGAGCGGGCTGGTTAGCACTTCGGGAGTCATTGGGTCCGGGTCGAGGGGGAGGAAAGGGACAGGAACCGTCACGCGTCCCGAGGTGTTCGTGCACGTCGAACAGCACGAGTTGGGGGATATACGCTCACCTGGGGTCGTGTCACCGAGATTCGTCATCGAAGATATGAATAAAGGGCAGGACGGGGGGGATGAGAGTTCGCTGAAAAGGATGGAGGACGATTCGGTCTGGGAAGATGGCGCAAAAAGGAACGGCACAATTGTATAGTTTATTTTGTTTTTGAGGATGTTTTACGTGCCGGCGAGCACATCCTTCATTTTGTGACATGTCTATAGCAATTGTTGTCCAACTCGTAGTGTCCTCATACTAATACCCTCCTGTATACTAATAGAGATGATATCCATTGTACAGCCGCCTTCGTCTCAACGACACTGCCCGTATATCGACATGCGTATCACGCTTCGAGGGTAATCGCCCATGCATTGCCATAAAATCGTATCGACAGCCCATCTCTTTCAAATTTCTTCATGGCCTTCAGCGACCTTTTCGGTCGGGGAGAATGAGGAGCGACCAACGTCAGGGACTTGAGCAGCACCGTTTCCGACCCAACGCATTTCCGAGAAGATACCATATTGAGAAGCGACGCATTACTGGACTTGAACGCCTTCACAGAGGGTTGCACCGGGTCGTTTCCATACGTGTCATCACGAGCGAATAGTTCTGCCAAGTGTGGCGCGAGTTAGGAAACGGAATCGTAGGTAAGGCCGTGATACAGATCATCTGCCATCGTCATGTCAACGCGGACGTATAATGATGTGTATGGAAGTGCATTTCTCAGGCATAGAAGAGAGATGTGGGAAAGAGATCGAAGGAATGTTCAGGTAGAGTGTCTAGAGTTGAGACGAATTTTTCGATACCAAGGATGCCGTCTACCTGGTCTATCAATTCCTCCACCAGAAAGAGCTGCAAAGCCGGAAGGTGGAGGCACTTGAAGCAATCGACGTCTGTGTACAACGAAAGACAGCGAAGGCCCGAGTGGGACAATGGGTCGTTTGAAAAATCACGAAGTTTGATCCACAGAGTCACCTTGGTCAGTTCAGGAGCATAAGAAAACAGCCGTATAAGATCCTGTGGATTGTAAATATCTCCTTGAAAAGTCCTCAACCGCGTTAAAGGGAAGATAACTTCCGTGATACCGATGCCCGGTAATAAAACGTGCCGTAATTGAGGGGCCTCCCTGAACACTTCTATGCCCTGGTCGACTCGTTCGTGGAATGCTTCTAAGAGACTGGGCACACCATTGTGCAAGTTTTTCTATATCATAATGATCCAAACCCTTGACAGTAAAGGTAAGCGATTTCAAGGCAGGGAAGTAGGCTGACTACCTGAAAATGTTGGAAAAGAACATCAGGCTCGAAGAGTTGACTGTCCAGTCCACGGTACCTCGGCGGTGAGTTTGAGGACATAGATCCTGGAGCGCCGACGTACAAACCATGTACCACGATTTGTAGCGGGTATTCCTTCGATCTGCGGAGATATTTGTAGAGAACAAGCACCTCCCAGAAGGTAAAGAAATTTGGTTCGTCGTTAAGGACAACCGGCTCCAAAGTGACGGTGTAGACAAGGCGATAGCCCTGGATTGTCGCGACAAAGGGATGCGAAGAGCTTTTTGGAACTCGATGGCAGCACGTTTTTTTGGGACGTTTGGCAGAAAAGTTGCGGTAGAAGAGGGTCGATGTTGGATTTGATGCAATGGATATCGTCTCTGCCAAGCGATGCTCTTGTATCCTATGGTGCGACTTTTCGCTTTGTTTTGAACATATACACTTTTTTAAAAAAGACGAATTTTACTCACGTCAAGAGGAGAAGATCGGTTTGGTTGGTTTTCCGTGACTCAGACGTAGTCATCGGTGTCGAGCTATCGTCAGGATTTTTTTTTTTTCAATTTTGAAGATCCAGGATATCAGAGGGCACTTACGATTGCAACAGGAGAAGCTTCCTCGCAACAACTTGAAGTGGCTCCTGGGAGACAATGGAATAGCGGGCTGTGCTCGGATGATGCCGTTTTCAAGTTACTTCTAACTCTGAAGAATCCCATTACGTCGATACCGTTTCCTGTTGCAACTCCCTACCAGAATGTTATGTAAGGCACTGTTGAATAGAAAGAAGAGAGGGCAGTGAGGCTGAGCTATATATCTATTTCTTTATGTTCCCTACTGAAGAAACAACGACTGATAATGCATGATATAATATAAACATTCTATATGCTGTCATACAGATATAAGCAACATCCTCTCCACAGTCAAGTACAGTTGTAAATCATCAGCACTCATAGTCACCTGTTTGCTGCCCCCTTCAAAGAACTGCTTCAACATTGATTTGACAACCTCTCCTGCACCACTCACATGTGAAACCTTGGCAAGGGAGTAATGGAACTGGATGAGCTTGCAGCTGGGTTGAACTTCCACAGGGGCATCCTTCAAAGGAGATGACTTCAAAATTGCATCTATGCATGATAGATAGAGGGCCTCTAGCAAAATATTCAAAGTGCTATTGGTGCAGATGATCAGGCTGGTATTATTTCCTGTCAGTGCACACATGAGAATGACAAGATGACAACTTACATCTGGATGCAATGGCCACATGAAATTGTCAAATGCTGAATGAAATTCTAGGCTCAGCATGAGTCTATTGTAGCACAGTCAATGTGAGTATCAAGTTCAGTGACTTCTTCTTCAGACAATCCAATAAAGTGGAGCAAAATGCCCCAGGTGACATACTCTGCCAAAGATTTCTGTATCATATGTATACTCAGTCGGAAATCCACCATTGAACACTGTAGTATGCTTTCTGGTGGCCACCACCCTCTTAAAAATATGAGCTGCCACAACCATAACTCAAAAAAGAAATAATTATTCCAAGATACCATTGTAGTTTATGCTAGGGTTGTGGACTTGGGGGGTGGGAGATATGACTCAACCTATAGATTTTATCATAATGAGCCTCCCCTGCTTCTCATTCACTTGTAAATGATATAGTAATATCAGGATCCTCTTGTCTCCATACCTTTTGGTATGTCATAAAGTCTTGGTCATAACCTCCCATTAAAAAAGGAGAAGGCCTAACAAATCATAAAGAGAAACTTTTTTATGGACTCAATGGAATACATTCAGATTTATTAAAAACCCTTAGTGTGTTTTATCTCATCTATCTCATCAGCACTCAGGCTTGACTGTAACATTAATGGGCTTTCAAGCAGAAACCTAA